TTCCGATGAAAGCAGGATGAATTAAAACTGCTGGAAGGATATCACAGCTGTTGCAGGAATCCCGATTATCCATTGGTCATCAGTTGGTGGAACCAGTCTTAAGAAAAGAAAACAACGGGCAAATAGGATGGCTAGGGTCTCAGATAGGTGGGCTTGTCTATTGAGTTACAAGGCATACTAGAAAGCTTCAAAGCTTCTTGAAAGTTTTCTACAGCAATACATACATGTAAAGTGTGTCGAAAATTATGTGTCAACCTGATAGTACAGTCCATTGATTATGGAGTTGAAACATTCCTTCCGGAGTACAGCTGCAACAACTTCCATGTATTTCACGATCATTTCAAAGTTTGAAGAAGGGAAAATATAACTAATAGAAAGGCAGGCGGACCTTCAAAGATGCGAGGAATAAGTGCTTTGCAGCAATATATGCCCTTGCGTTCTAGCAGATAAGTACCCAGGCAACAGTTCGTTCCAAATTTCGAAATTATCACCTCCCTCCTTTCATGGGACATCACAAGGTCCCTTCCCCCCTCGTACAAGCTATTTATTTCTTTTCACATAACTTTATTCACCACATCGATGTGAGCCGTCATCGACATGGCGTGAGTTTGTGGGAGTACATAGGAACTTACGATGCGCTCTTTGCCTCGCTCAATCGACGACTATTGGAACAACATGGAAATTGACTTATTTAAGAAATGTTTCCAATATTTCGCATAAACCGAGGCATGGTTGTAGTCGCAGATATTTCTGCTTCTAGAAACTACCAAGTTTATTCCGAACTTACAACTATCTTTTTTATAAACGAAAAGGTAAACCTTACAGTAGAACCTTTCCATTGAAAGCATACATCTTCCTCCATTCGTGTTCTGGAATACAGAACTTTGAAAACTTTAACTTGCACTTCTTTGGAAGTATTCGACCTGGTCGAACTACAGTCCTCGAGAATTCGTCACGTTGTCCCCTTTTTCCATATCGAGTGTTTGACACTTATGCGTTCCTAAGTATTTCATATCAAGTTTGCAGATCTCTAGCTATATCAGAAACTGGAAGATTAGAGCCCCCGAAAAGGTACCGAAACTTTTCAAAGAAACCACCCTTTCAAAAAGTAGTCCCATTGTTCTCTTTTCTCCTCTATGGCTTTTGGGCCATTTCTGAAACGCGAGCTTCCAACATTCAGACACCTATACATTCTTTAAATTAGTGTATTGAAAAGCGGCATAGGCCATCGGAATCTACGTGATCAACGCTTTATAATATGCGCTGACTTCTTCTGGAAAGCTTTGAATTAAAAACTCTTTCTGATAGAATTCATCAGGACATTCCACCAAATTCGCTGCAATTTCCTCCACTTTACTTTGATCTAGAAGTGTAGGATTCCTATCGCAGAATTTGCTTGCTCATGCTCATTGGGATGTGGAGTTTTCCAGCGAGAAATTCTGCTTTGGGATGACGCCATGTACTCGTATGTTGTCAGTAGTCGCAATGGTATTTGAGTGTGTGCTCATTTGCCACTTCGTTATGCATTGAGAACTTCGAATTTTCTCTGTTCCTCGGACTTGCCCCCGGTAGGTAATCCCCTTCGACTCTAGCCGTTTAGCCTAGAGAGCGTCAGCGTTGAAGGGAGTAGCACCGAAGAGAGTTGCCTTAATGGGGGAATCAGTGGGCAGGGAAGGTTCCCATTTCTTATGTTCTGCGCTCTTTTTCATAGTTATTCTTCATCCTTGTACCACTGACCATCTCTACCTTGATTTCTAATAGGCTTAGTTTTCACGGTAAACTCCACTTCTGAAGCAATATTTATTACAAGAAGCATTGAGAACCTGCATATCGAGTAGTTCTTATGTGCTGCATGCTAAAAACAGTTTGCGAGAATGAAGTGTTATTCAAGCGGACATGTTGAAAAGTATTCAATTTTATAGGAGTGTGGTGCTCACTTGTCTGGCCTAGTATCACGTAACAGGTGACATTGAAGGCACTCAGCAGCAGATCAGGACAAGTTTTTGTGATACGATTCCTTTCTGTGCAAAAACATCGCACTTTGGATTAGCTTCGTTGAATCGTGATTCGTCGTATTGTCGTCAAATAGAGCTAACTTTGAAACTAATGTCAGCTAATTGATCAGACATCAACTACCACCACACCTTTCCTGCCCATTAAAGTACCGAATCTCACGGTGGAAGTCAACCGCCCTTCAAACAACTTATCGTATACGTGGTATCATTACAGAAGGAAAAACCATGAGAAACGGCCCAGAACCCGAGAAATGGGACCCCTTCCTTGCCCGTTGATTTGAGCATTGATGCGACTATCATCGCTGTGCCCTCTTCAACACTACGCTCTCTCACCTATCTAATCACTCGCCACGTATAGACCTGCGGCGAGTGATCAGATGATCGGTGGGCGTGCACTGGCCCACCGCGCCAAGATTGAGCCTTAAGGTAATAGGTCGCCGAGGTCAACTCCTTCGGTGCCAATTGCGCTTCAGTCCGCACCCTCAGGAGGTCCGCGGGTCCCTCAACTAGGTGAATTACTCCTTCTTCGACCTTCATTCTAATCGTGAATTTGTCCTTTAATGTAGGTTCCACCGGAAGCCGGTGAGAAAAGCTCCGGCGCCAGAATAACACCAACGGTTTGGGAAGCAGAAACGGATGCTCTACTCGTGATTAGAGCAGCAAATAGTTTTTATGACTAAAGTCTGATGGGAGCTTCAAATAGGGAGCAACAACTGGTCAGTGGTCATTCATGCATGCTAATAGGTCAAGCAGCTGGTTATCCTCCTCCAGTAAGGAGTCCCTATAAACGCCGCAAGACAGATAATCTGCTGTTTATGAATCGGAAGACATATGCAATGACAAATCGCAAATCACCTCACAGTCGTAGAGTGCTCAGCGGGCTCTTGTCCCTTTGCCGATGAGCTTCTTTGTCGTTTGCTGGACGGCTTCCAGTGATCGCGATGCTATATCAGAGGAGTCCCGCAAGAATGAATATCAGGCCCAATGTGAATCGTTTTTAAATCTTGATGCTTTTTGAAGCTTCTGCCGTAAGAGTTGTTCAGTGCATGAATATTGGATTTATTCTTGTCCCCAGTCCCGCGCCACTTTAGCGCCGTTTGGCTGCCACTACTTTTTTCACCAGTTTTTGGAAAGAGTGTATTTATAAGGATGAGTGATGGCCTTAAGCATAAAGATAACGTTGTTCTAGACGCTGGTTTCAGGTTTCAGGTCCGTACACATATGACGCTGAAAACAATATGAAGGATCATATTGTTTAGGTAGAGAATCATATGTTTTATTGACTTTAGATTTCTAATTTTCCTCCAGGATGCGGTATTGCAGCTTCGTAGTTGTGATGTTCTTTCCGCCGTTATATGTTATCACCGGGACAAGGCTCGAGTTTGATTTGAGCACACTGTTAACGTCATCTTTCGAGCAGAATCTAAAAGAACCCAGCTAATAAGAATTTTCATTTTCATATTGACCAAACCTTATACCTGTATCCAGTGCGACTTTGATCTGAATGTGTTTTGACTTCAACACCAGCATAAATGCATCCATCAACAGCAACATCTTCGGGGAGCTCCACGAATTTTCACTTCTATCTTTTTATCGTTTTTGGCCTAGATGAAATCTTCAAAACTACAACTCATGATTCCTTTCCTCAAGTCACTGACCTTGATCCAATAAGTACATTTCTTATATCCGTCTCGCTCATCGCCTTTCACACCATCCAGACTGTCTTCAAGCGGTGCCCACTCCTCGCTCGCTTCAAGTTCTGCACCACATCCTGATGGCTGAACTAATTTCTTGAATGATCATACTCTCAAGCTGCAACATAGAGAGTCACCTTTTCCCCGCAGAGCTGCCCACCGTATCCGCTAGGACAGATGCACATGGAGCAGTTGCGAGGATGAACAAATCCGCCATTCTTGCAATCTGGTTCTTTACCTTTGCATGCGTCTAAAACACAATCACTTCTTGATTTTCATGTGTGCGAAGCTTTTCCAATTTATAGCTTACCAAGGCAATTGTAGTACTTATTCATCATCAAGAGATCGTAAAACGCAATGATATCAGATCCAAGAGTCTCCGTGTAGTTAACATCATTGGCCACGATAATAGGCTGACTTTTGTCAATGGCAGCATTAGAGCTAAGAATTCGTTGGTTTCCAATCTATAGATCCACATATGCAATGTAGTCTACCTCATAGCTCCGTAGTGCATTATACTACCATAGTCATAAGTTATACCGTAATTGTTGTTAAATTCCTCTTTCTGCTTGTCAAAATCAGGAAGCCAGTTCTTCTAAATCCGTCCGCATTATTGCATGATTACATGGTACGACTATAGCATTAGCAAGTCAACCTCGACGTTTTCTTTGTTAATTGTGACGAACTCATCACGATCGTGTCTTGCTTGAGTATGGAAGAAACCAAGTGCATGACCAATTTCATGAGCAGCTATTCCGACCTGAGTAAGACATAAAACGTCAGAAGCTGCAAAAAACTTGAGGAAGTAGCTGTTCTCTTTCTGTCATCTTCAAATTAAAGCTTGTTCCAATCGCTACCGATTCACAGCCCTTGCCAAGTGATAGATTCTTGTGGACCTCCTTGTCTTACCAACTTTCGAAGAGCATCCCTCCACATTGTACACAAAAAGGAAGTCCGAAGCTGGAATTTCGAAATACGTCAAAACCTCTCAGCAATTTGATGTCCTTTATTGCTTTCGTGTTTCGTAGTGCTAGTATTGCCTATCTATCAGTAAGATCCTCTTGAATCTGCTCGCGCACTTTACCGTGAAGTTTCGAGATGCGCTCACATTAAAAAAGGGTAGGGACGAAAGCATATGAGCGTTACATTCTAGGGTTGTAGGAATTAATGGCTGTGAAAAAAAGTTAAATGGTATCATCGAGATATTGCTGGATTACTTCGCTCGCCATTTTCGAAATGGAACGGGGTGTTAGATGGCCGTTGAATTCTCCAAACAAATCTTGAACATATCTCAAAAAAATAAAAAGTCTTCCTCACGCGGTTTGGGATCGCCTGGTTTCCATTCCTGGTGTTCTGTGAAATTAATGCACGTGTTGTCCATCCACAACTGTGCCGCCTTCTTGAAGGCAGCTTTGGCATTTCCACCTTAGCATGGAAATTAAAACTTTTTTTTTGCAAATATGAAAGAGAAAACCAGAGATCAACTGACCTAAATAGTCAGCAAAAATGTAGGGAACTCCATTTGACCATCTGTGACCTGGGTACTTCTTGTCATTGTATGCTTGACGCTTAGCACGAGTTTCACTTTCGGCGGTGAACTCATTCTGTTGTACCCTTAATACGATACAGAATTTTTATATGAAGTGTCAAGAAATTTGGACGACAAACTTTGGAAGGATGATATCTCCCTGGAACAGTGCGGCTGCAACTCCGCTTTTCACGTTGATTTCCTCAATCGAGTCTCCCATTGGATTCACATGATCGACCGTTTTCCTTTTCAGGAACTAAATATCCACCTATTTCCTATCGATACCTGTCCCAAGAAGATATCGCTCACCTTCAGCCTTTGTGAAAGCTTTTCCCTCTGTTCTTCAGAACTTTCGGCATGCACGCAAGCCGCCACGAGTAGAGCGATTACAACAACCATCATCCTGCACTGTAAAGCTGAACTATGTTCAGGGATGAAGAAACATTACAAGTAAAGGCTTTTCTGAGCTGAATGATGCAGTTGTTCCTTTTTCTCGCATTTATATCATGTCTCCATACTTTGAGGTTGACCTATGAGATCAGTGGGATGCTTCTGATGTCCAAACATAGGCGCCCCAGAAAAATGGTGCCGTTTCAGCTGCTGTTCTGCAAATGTAAACGATATATGTATGATCCATGTTGCGACAAATGTTCTGAATTTACAAGTATAATTCAATATCTGCAGTAATAAGTGCCTAAACAGCAAAACACAAACAGAAAATGATAACAAATGCGCCTACCCTGCACGACTTCATGACTCGTTGATAAGCAGTCTTGTATCGCATGAAGTTAGCGTCAAAGAATTTCGTTTTCGCTGCGTGTTTTCTTGCAGTGCATGAATTGACGTGATCAGCTCCTTTTCGAAAAGCTTTGCCACGCTCGTCTAGAGTGTGCCACAGAATGCGGCGAAAGTTTTTAATATTTAGTTTACGCTGTCACAACAATATAGTTGAGTGGTGTAACCTTTCAGCTCATGTAGCCTCAAGTGCACTCGTGGTCTTTTATATCTGGTTTGGAGCGCCCCACTTTGCTCACGACGACCCTAAACACAACGGAGTTTCTCTGAGTCTCATTGAGACTTGTGTGTTTGCTGTCGCCATGCTAGTATTCTGAGTCTGCTTCTCCATAAATTCATGAAACGATCCTTATGCATGAAGCACCATAATATACAAGCTTAGGCACAGGCTGCTGAACCTCGCATGTGGCGAGTTGACGTCTAGGTTGCAAGACAGACCTGTCAAACGCTGAATGATGTATTTCAGTGCATGCAAGTCTTTCCTGTCATGTATATCGACGAGATCCGATTGCCTCTTGTAGCGTTCCTCGTCACTAATTTCCTGATTTGCTACGATATGTTCTATCCGTTCTCTGCCTTCCAATCTAAATAGTAATAAGAACCGCTGAGGCGCAGGGCTGGTCTTTCTCGCATCTATTTTTCGCTGCTAACAGACTAGTTTTTCGCTTTCAGAGAGTTTATAATTAGGTGCATGTTCCGGTGTTCTCCTTTTTTTCTTCTGCGTCATAGTTCACTGAGAGTAAATCAGTGCTTGCCTGAAGGCACAACCCAGGCAGAAGTCGTGCAAACGATTGCTTTTGGTCTGTTGGATAGCCTCCTACGAGCAAAAACATCATGGACGTGCATATCCGCCCGTGCAGAAATAGCCGACAAGCGCTCTAGGACCTTGCAAAGTAAGCTGCAGCAGCTTGAAGTTCTTTTTTTCCTTAATCAGGCTGTTGTCTGGCGCCCTCTCATCTGTTGCGCTCTCCCGCTTCAGTATCTCTCCTCTCCCGGCTTAACCCAGCTCATAGCCTTGCGCACATGCGCCGACTATGGATTAATAAGTGCCCTTAACTTAAGCGTGCGTTTTTCATGAGCTTGATTCTGCACAGCACGCAAAACTAAGCTCATAAAAAACGAAACAAAGAAGGAGAGGAGAAAAGAAAGAGAAGAAGACAAAAACATTTCTGCTACTCTTTCTTCGTTGCTGGCCGCACTCTAGGCGCAAGGAATAAATAAGCAAAAAACAAGTGGATACTTGATAATGCTTATGAGGACAGCGAGCCGCTTGCTCGTTAATTCGAGCTTTTCGGTGCTCTCACACATACTCCACAATCAAATGAAAAGCGTCCACTAGTCATTGACTATCTTAGTAGAATCCAAAAGCGAAATCGCATGGAGTTAAATCTGGCTATCTATAATGGAATCCAAAAGGACATCGGCATGGAGTTATAATCTTTTTTTGTGTCAGCGTCTACCCATTGCTAGTCACTCGGGCTGGCGTACCATTTTCACTTTGCTCTTCTAGACACATCATTTCATGAACAACAGACCCTGTATTTGATTTTTTTTGCCAGTCTTTATGTAGTATATTGCGAAACACCGCCAGAAGGTTGAGCATTTTCATGAAGCATTGCAGCTGCCATTAAGGAGTGGATCACTTGTGCACTACGAACGGAGAGCTGACATATCGTACAATCCACATTCCAGCTAAGAATCTCACCAAACAATGTGATTTAGTTCACAATGTGTTGACAATGTCGATGTTGACATAGAATTTCACAGCTATCCATCGAATATCTACTTTATCATGTGAAACCATTATTTTTCATTCCCAATCGGCTTCGAAATCGTTAAAAAAAGATATTGACTACACCAATTTTTTATAAAAACTTTTGTATTATTCTCAATTACTACGCTTTGATTTGCTACAACATGTTGATTATCGTTCTTCACATTCGAATTAACGTATACAATAAGTTGAAAATTCGGCCGACATATTTCTTTTGTCTGTTGGCTCTGCTTAAGATCAACGCCTAATCAATTCATGTCACATAAAACGACCTGGCATTAGATTTACAGTACTCTCGAATTACTGATTATTATGTTTTATCGAGACCTATGAGCTATATTGCTGCCAGTTGACAAACCAAGCTTCATAAAAACGCCCGCTTAAGATTAAGGCTTACTGACAGTCCATTAGTCGCTCAGTGAAAGGCAGTGAGGCTAAGCCGAGAGAGAGTAGAAGCGGGAAGCGCACAGATAGAGGCGCCCAGACACAAGACCTGATTAAGGAAAAAAGAACTTCAAGATGATCTGCTGCAGCTTACTTTGCAAGTCCTCAGAGCGCTTGTCGCTGATTCCATGCAATTCGCGAATGCCACGTCCTGATTTTGCTCTTAGGATCCCTATTCCACCAGCCAAAAAGCATCGTTTTGCACCACTTCTGCCTGGTGTCCTTCAGCAAGCACTGATACTCTCAGGAACTATGACGCCAGAAAAAAGAAAACACCCGGAACATGCCCTAAATTATAACTCTCTGAAAGCTGAAAAACTCAGTTTTTATCAGCGAAAATAGATGCGAAAGACCATCCTGCGCCTTAGCCGTTTCTTTGATTACTATTAGTATTGTAAGATCCAACTATTTAGGTTGGAAGACAGAGAACGATGGAACATATCGTAGCAAATCAGGAAATTAGTGACGCGGACAGCTACAAGATGGCAATCGATCTCGTCGTATATACCATGACAGGAAAGCTTGCATGCCCTGAATACATCCATTCCAGTAGTTTGCAGGTCTGTCTGCAAACCTAGACGTCCACTCGCCACATGCGAGGTTCAGAGCCTTGCTAAGCTTTTCATAATATGGTGCTTCATGCAAAAAGGATCTTCATGAATTATGGAAAGCAGACTCTAGAATACTAGCATGGACAGCAAACCACAACAAGCTCAATGAGAACTCAGAGAAACTCCGTGGGTTAGGGTCGTCGAGCAGTGCTGCTCCAATCACCAGATATAAAAGACCCCACGAGTGCACTTGATGCTACATGAGCTGAAGGTCAGCCACACCTCAACTATATTGTGTGACACGTACACTGAAATAATAAAAACTTTCGCGCATTCTGTGGCACACTCTAGACGAGCGTGGCAAAGCTTTTCGAAAAGGAGCTGATCACGTCAATTCATGCACTGCAAGAAAACACGCAGCGAAAACGAAATTCTTTGACGCTAACTTCATGCGATACAAGACTGCTTATCAACGAGTCATGAAGTCGTGCAGGGTAGGCGCATTTGTTATCATTTTCTGCTTGTGTTTTGCTGTTTAGACACTTATTACTGCAGATATTGAATTATACTTGTAATCAGAACATTTGTCGCAACATGGATCATACATATATCGTTTACATTTGCAGAACAGCAGCTGAAACGGCACCATTTTTCTGGGGCGCCTATGTTTGGACATCAGAAGCATCCCACTGATCTCATAGGTCAACCTCAAAGTATGGAGACATGATATAAATGCGAGAAAAAGGAACAACTGCATCATTCAGCTCAGAAAAGCCTTCACTTGTAATGTTTCTTCATCCCTGAACATAGTTCAGCTTTACAGTGCAGGATGATGGTTGTTGTAATCGCTCTACTCGTGGCGGCTTGCGTGCATGCCGAAAGTTCTGAAGAACAGAGGGAAAAGCTTTCACAAAGGCTGAAGGTGAGCGATATCTTCTTGGGACAGGTATCGATAGGAAATAGGTGGATATTTAGTTCCTGAAAAGGAAAACGGTCGATCATGTGAATCCAATGGGAGACTCGATTGAGGAAATCAACGTGAAAAGCGGAGTTGCAGCCGCACTGTTCCAGGGAGATATCATCCTTCCAAAGTTTGTCGTCCAAATTTCTTGACACTTCATATAAAAATTCTGTATCGTATTAAGGGTACAACAGAATGAGTTCACCGCCGAAAGT